GGGGAGGTGGCTGGCCTGGAGTTCTCCTTCCTGACCACTCAGAACCCCCATCTTCCAGGAGGCTCACTTTTCCCCCTCTGTTACCCTCAGCCACAGGAGGGACTGAAGGAGGGAGAGACTCTGCCTAATCATGCCCATCGATGGGGAGGGAGGCACCAGAGGACAGTTTTAGAGTCCAGGCCAAGCCAAGCGCTTTGTTCTGATTGGGATGGGGGTGTAGGGCAGCCCCCAGGCCGGTACCATAGCCCTGCAGAGAACACAGGGCTCCTCCCTGCCACATGAGCCCGAGTGGAGGTGTCTTTCCAGCCCCTGCCCCAGCCAGACCGTAGTACCCTGCAAGGTGGCAAGGTAGGAGGGATCCAATCCGTGAAAGGGAGGGGACGCCTGGGTCCCTCAGGGACTGAAGGCAGGGCAAGGGCGGGCAGGACCGACTCCATGGCAGCTAGGGGCCCAGCCTCCAGGTTCCCTGACTGTGCAGGCAGCCCCAGGTTTGAGGGAGAAAGAAGGCAGAGGCTTCATTCCAGGAGGGACAGGAACCATCAGTGTAGTAGCCCATGGTCTGCAACTCTTAGCCCCAACAGTCCTCGCCCCCCCACCCCGCCCAACCAACGCGCCTTTAAACCTAGGCCGACGGGCTCACCGTGCGAATGCTCCTCCTCGCTGCTGTCATCCTCCGAGTGGGGCTGCCCGCCGTTGGGCGCCGTCTTGGCCCGGCTGCGGGACAGAATCCCGGAGCCCGCGCTCGGCTTCTCCATCACCGAGGGCATTACCCCGCCCAGCTGCCCCGAGGGGCGCGGGAGCCTTGGGAGAGGGACTGTGGTTGCCGCGCTCGCCTCGAGTGCCGTGCCTGGCCCGGCCTGGAGAGGTCGCCACTGAGGCTACGAGAGGCAGCAGGTCAGTTTGGCTAGGGTCTGGCGGGGCGGGAGCTCAGCGGGCAGCCCCAGCGCTCTTCGCGACCCCCACGGGCAAGGGCGTCAGAAAAGTTTGTGCAGAAGTGGGGTGCGCGGGGGATGAGCGCAAGGTCCAGTGCGGCTGCGGCGCGCTCTCTCTGTATGCTCCTAGGGGTTGGGACTCCCCGGGAGAAGTCTAGGCGCTCTGCCCTCGGGGCGCCCAGGAGCCCCACAGCCCGCCTGCCCACGCCGTTCAGCGGGCGGGCGCCGCAGCACAATTTGCGCCCCCGCGGGCTCTGCGCCTCTTAGCTGTACCACGGATGTCCCAGTCCCCGGACCGGGACCCCTGTCCCGACCAGACCCCTGACCGCGACGGCAGCCAGCAGC